AATACCCTTCCCCACGCAGAGTAGCAAGTCAGCGATATACACACGCCAGCTTAATTCTCTGCTTTTAAATAAAGTGCTCTCTTTCTCCCTCTGTATCTCTCTCACAAGGCACGAAACAAACAGGTCAACTACAGCCTGTTTGGTTGTCGAACGTGCGCCGGCACTCAAGTCTGCGTGCCTGAAATTTAAAATCTAAAGACAGATCACATACTTATGCCATGAAGAAATAAACGTTTAGGTGCCTTATACCAGCGTCGCGTCGCAGTAGCGTAGCAGGCTCGCAATCTGATGTGCGCCTAGAAGCCGTGGCTTCTAGACACATCAGAATAATTTTTAGTTTCTGTTCTGCACTATAACCGAAATATAAGGTTCTCTCCAAGACCTATAGGCCACCTGGCACATAGAAAATGATACGTATACGCTGTGCGTTGTAGCGTGATTGCGCACCCACTACTGACACCGGTGCGATTCACGCTTCTACGTGCCAGCCGCTGTAGAGACGAAATGTTTTTATCAGTAAACATTCATGTTATTGCTGCTTCTGCTGACTGTTACACTAGAGAATGAGTACAGGCTATGTTAAGTAATTTCATCCTAAGCGCAGTTTTTTTTAAAGAACAGTGCTGTAAAGTTTGGCACGAAATGCCTCACTTCACAAAGTGTACTCCAGCCTGATCTCAGCGGAGAGAGACAAGAAAACTAGGATCTTCTTTGCAAGTAAGGTTATTCAAGAGCTTTATTTTCTTCTTCCCACATCGTTCTTCTAAGTGCGGTTCTTGACTTTCACGGTATGATGATAGTTATGCGAGAGAAGAGCAAACGTTATCAGCATAATCTCTTACGTGGTTCACATTACTTTTTGTGTGATACTGCACGGCAATAAATATAAGGCCTTGCTGTCGTTGCATGATTGGTTTGGTGGTATATGGTGCTAAATATCATTCACAACGCGCATCTTTCGGAGAGGCGTACACAAAAAGCAGCTTCTGAAAGCGGGTTGAGTTTCTACGAAGGTGGCAATATGGGAATGGCGGTATTTGATTTTTATGAACGGCAAAACTACACTAGAGACGATTACACAATGATGGAGCACACACGCACACACATAGTGCTACTTTCAACAGTGCAACTTCCATAGCAGCACGTGAGTACATCTGGTGCGCAGAAGTTACAAAATATACATAGGCAACATCACGGATGCAAGAAAAATCAAATTATTGATCTGAAAGCACGCTCAACAGCAAGCTAATGCGCCCCCCCACCAATCCTTTCTCCGCTCTTCTGCAATCTCTCGAGTAAGATGATTCCCGATTGTTCCCACAATTGAGCACCTGTTGAATAGGAGTCCACCGCACTTCCACCACATTGCTAGGAAACCACCTGCCTCTTTCCTAGCAGAGTTAAGGGGTTGACGCAGGTTGTCATTCAGGCAGCGACTAGTGTGTCCGGCGTAGCTGCGACCCCAAGATCACGGCAGACAATATACCGCACACTCACTGGTGTTGTTACTGGCCACCTTGTTGCTCGCCCCGTTACGCAACTGTAAACAACTGGTTATGTAAACCAAGTGCGCCTGTTTAACAGATGTAAGTGCTTAGGGTATTTGTACATATTTTAGCCTCATTTCGTAAAATATTGCTCAATAAAATTATTGAACGCCACGCACCTTTCTTCGGCATACTTCGAACACCACCGATTCCCTTAGTACATGGCCTACTGCTTTTTCTATTTGCGAGACACTGCAAGTCCTAGACAGAAACTAGCGATGCCCGCAAAAAATATCTGAGCCATTTGAACTGTAACTATAAGGGGAGAACCTATAAGCTTCGCCTACAAGAGGAGAACGCAACATCGTAATCGGACTCCGCGAGCACCACCTTCCCAATTGGTGACCTGACTACGGCTCTCGTCAGACGCCTCGACTTCGCCGCAATATAGACAAACGTCTCTGCTTGTAACTTTGGCTGCTGCAAACCATGCTTAATTGCTTACCGCAAGTAAAGTTGCGCAGTTTCCACTGCGCCTTATTCGTTAGATTTGTGGGGTTTAACGTCCCAAAACCACCATATGATTATGAGAGACGCCGTAGTGGAGGGCTCCGGAAATTTGGACCACCTGGGGTTCTTTAACGTGCACCCAAATCTGAGTAGACGGGCCTACAACATTTCCGCCTCCATCAGAAATGCAGCCGCCGCAGTCCGGATTTGAACCCGCAACCTGCGGGTCAGCAGCCGAGTACCTTAGCCACTAAACCACCGCGGCGGGGCCTGCGCCTTATTCGTTTTGTTTTTTTTTGCGACTGAGCGAAGGGCACACTACGCATCCGTTTGGCAACACGCAAAGCTACGCAGCTGCTTACTTTGTAGATGCTCTTGCCGATACCGGGCAATAAATATCACTGAGCGCTTTGTATTGAATATACCCTTGAAAGACCAACTCGTAGTGCTATTCCCACGCGTCGAAGCTTGGCGTCACACTATGCTTTTGTCAGGTAACACCACAGGTGTTAAGAAGACTTTTCTTACTACACGACAAAGCAATTTTTCGGAAGAAGGCTCAAGCAAAAACAAAAACAATGTCTAGGCTCAACGGTGGAACGATTAATTTTTTATTCGAGTCTCGCACAATTAGCCTTTTTATTACCTATTTTATTTCCTCGTTATTTATTTTGTACATAAACAACACTCAATTCTTGCCCACGAACAACAACGCCGACACCGACGTTTCCGTGAAACAAGGTTTTTAACTTTGCTGAAATGAAACATTGTACATTGTAGGTAGGCACTGAAAAGAATACGTATATAAGATGTACATTACGAAAGTATTTGCTTTATCATGTTAGATTCTGGTAATATTTGAGAAATCTAAGGAGTTCTAAAACGTGTTGGTTGTGCAGTAGCCCCTATGACTGAATTTAATATCTCCATTGACATACATTGTTGGTTTAGTTGCTGGTGGTGACAATACCCGTTGGGGTAGGTAGCGAGCCGGGTAAGCCTCTAATGCATGAAACGTAACAAAGCAACAAAAAAAATATTTGCCTAGCTGTTATCATAAAATAGACAAACAGGGAGGTATACAAAATATGTTAGATTACTTGTAAGTGTATTAGAAAAGATCCAGGTTTGTGTCAAATATGACAGATTATGCGAATGGCCGAGTGATTTCACTGTCATACTTGAAAAAGAAAGCTTCACTCAGTGAGGTACTGTTAGGGTGTCTTGTGGAATAAAGCGCATGAACTGTTTCCTACGTTCAGGCGTAAGTTAGCACTTGACGCAGTGCATCTGAATGGCGTTATTTATGTGCAAGATGGTCTGTCCGTATGTCCTCGTGTTGCCACCTTGCTATACATTCCTGTGCAAATCGCCAACCACTCACTCACTTGCCTCTTGTAGTCTCATTTGCTCAGGAAATTGGTAACAGTAAGCTTGAACTTGAACTCGTTGGACTTTGCATATTTCCTTATGTAAACCCACCCATGACTTAACTAAATTGCAGGGTAATGTTGTTCGCACTTCAAACTTACGTGAAAAATCCTGGATTTTAATCTTGCTCAGCAAAGCTGTGCTGCGTGGTCTCTGACGTTGTACCAACCGTGCGTTCTTCTGCAAAGCTATTTAGGTTGTTCAAAAGTAGTCAACTGCTAACTACGTAGTAAGCTGCTTGTTGAGATTGCTCCGTCAATATCGAATATATTTCGAGCAACAGGATTCTCTTTTCGTGGAATTAGCTTGTGCAAGTATGATTGCGAAAAAAGTAAGGAAACACTTCTCGCGAAGTCTCACGTTAGAGTAACAAATACCGGCGAAAATTAAACTAACCTCCTTCTTACGGCGCTCGTGATAAACCGCTAAGCAGTTTCGCTATATTAAGCACAACAACTCTGAGGCGAGGCACCTTACTAGCGATGGCGATTCACCCTCCTCAGCGATGCCCCCGAGGACCAGGAGTGAGCAGCCCAGCGGGCCCGTGCCGTCGCGGAGGGCCTCTAAGTATATTCACCAAAATTTATACCTCTATAAGCTTAGCCCCGGGCACCGAAATAACCCTTGGATCAATAAATTTTATTCATATGAACTCAGATTGTCTCTATACAAAATCCTTGCATGGTTTTGGCACTGCATTTGATGCCTACGACTTGTTTGCATGCGAGCTCTGCTATTTATATTTCATGCACACAAACATAAAATAACTATTCTACTTCGTATTGGCAGAGCCGTTGACTAAGCTCACAGCGATATGACGAACAAGAAAACAAAACAATGCGTCCTAAGCAATGAGCCACTACATCATGCTAAGTCAGCACTATTGGTGTTTTGCTGACCGGTGGCGTTGCACGCATGACAGTGACGTCACATCACACACCCAAATAAAGGTCTATTGACAAACCTTAAATAGGTAGCTTAGGCGTTGTTTGGTTTACTTTGGATTCGGTGAAAAGATTGCAAAGTCAGGCTCTTTTTGGGTGATTTGCTGTGAGTTCAGACATCTTGGTGTCTTTCACAAGTAGTGAAAAGAAAATCCGCTGCCAAGAAACGTTTCGTGCGTTCACGGCCATACCAACACGGTTGTTTCCGGTACTTTCTGCATGTCTACACACATTTGAATACTTTTACATGGCCGAAACAAAGGTGAATTCACCGTGTAATGCTCCTGAAGCAATAGTCATAATAATAATAATAATAATAATAATAATAATAATAATAATAATAATAATAATAATAATAATAATAATAATAATAATTTAATAATATTATGCATAATATTACCATTATTATTATTATTGTTATTATTATTATTATTATTATTATTATTATTATTATTATTATTATTATTATTATTATTATTATTATTAGCCATAATAAACAACAACGCTGGGATAGTCATCGCCCACTGGCATAATATGATCAGCCTGTCTTGAGCACGCAGTTGTGAACAAAAACACAGCATGCAATTTATAGCGGCTGTCAATGCATACAGAAGAACTAACGCATCTATTTGTAGAGCATATACCTTTAAACATCACAACGTGGGAGTTATTAGGATAAAATTGTACGCATATTTTACACCTTCCTTTAAAAGGAAAAGCACGATTGATATCTCTTGTGCAACGGTGACCATCAGCATGAACAGCACTGGGTTTCCGTTGGCTCGACATCCAGCCAGGTTGACCACGTGCAGTCATGGATCTCCGGATAACCACGTTCATCCCTCTCGCCGCTTACGTGGTTGCTTGGATAAGTGAGCCCGGTATGTGGCCAGCTTTTTCAGCAGCCTGTCGCGCAACTGTAAGAAAATGATGTGCATCGCAATTTACATTTTCGCAAGACCTCTTTCTACAAAAGACTGTGAAACAATTTGCACTCCGAGTTTTGACATGTGCGTTTGGTACGTGCTTTGACTAGGTATACGTGTTTGTGTCGCTCTAAGATTAACACACGCGCGTGCATAATGGACGAACCTTTCAATTGAAATTTCGACTCTGTGCATTGGCAGTGACGGCCGAAATCAAGTGAGTCAATTAACACTTGATTGAGGATTAAGTGAAAACTCACTTATTAAATGGAACGTATCGATTCGCTGAGCGCAGGAACTTCGATCATTTATATCTACGTATCTATTTTTCTGGCCGGCTGCTTCTCGATGCTATACTGATTGGTTTGGTTAGGGAAAACAATAATCTAAAATTCCGAAGGTGTGCGGCATAGGAACACGGCGGGCCGATATCACGACGGGAAAGTAAGGCCGAGACCTACCGCCGCATCGAGGGACCTATAGGACAGCCCAGAGTTGTGATGTCATGGCCAGACCCTGCAGAGCGGATTCCCACTTGCCGGACGATGTGGTATCGGTACCGCGTACCGATGGGCACCCCAAGATCATGTGGTGTAAGGAGGCGAAACCACCACAATTCGTACAAGAGTTATATAAACCTCAGGATAAACCTTGTCGAGAAAGGCAGTGTTAGGGTACCTTTCTTTTTGAAATAATTACAATGTCAGTACCTACATCTGTTTATCTTTCCATGTGGAGACGGAAAGTTTCTCTTATCCATACAGAAATACTAGGTAATTTCATTGCATGTAGTTGGCTCACTCCTGTTTACCAAATCTCCAGGTCGACCCTATGTCCTCCATGGGTGCAGATTGCTTACTCCCGCACCCTGGAATGGACCAGCTCATTGAAATAATATTCCTTCTGCCCATGTTTACCATATGAGCTGGGAACCATGTAAAGGTAAGGGCTCTAAGGAACTTCTCACCGAGTATGTTGATAACCTATGTCCACACAGCTCCAACACTGAAAGCACGAATGGCGGCTATAGCATTGCTAAAAACCTTCACATGACGGCTACCTCAGAGAGCCAAGTCAATGGAAACCTGCTTGGCTTCATTGTCAGCTTTGGCGGATACCGACGCCATATTATTGGTAACCCTTTTGTGGTTGATTGCCACGACCGTAAATCGGTTCCTATGGTCATCATAATGCGCCGCATCAATGAAACAGGCACACCCGTCGATATTCGCAACTTGCTAGAGAAGCACCTGAGCGCACACTCTCCTCTTTCCAAAATTTCATTGGGATGCATGTTTGCCAGGGCAACCAAGAAAATGATACGCTCCTTCTTGTGCCTCATCAACCCTTGGTAGTTAGCCTCAACCTGAGCTGGTGTGGTACCTATATCCGCTAAAATCAATTCTGCCTGCTTTTAAAAAAGCCAGAGGGCATAATTACCTATGTTATTTCTTGCGCTTCTTCGATTTATTCTTAGGTACTGTCAATTCCTAACTGCAGGAGATGATCTGTGTAGGTGTAGCTGGGGAGCCTAAGCACATTCTCTACCACGCTCTTAATCATTGCAATGAGCTTGTCTCTTCCCACTCCCTTCCAAACGTGCATTGCCGCAACGTATTCAAAGTGACACAGCAGAAAACCGTGTAAAAGCCTGACCAAGTTGTTCTCTGATAATCCTGCACTTCGATAAGCTAACCAGCTTATGAGTTTAATAAGACTTTCTGTCTTTTTCGCTGACCTTTGGAATCGAGATGTTATTTGTTCTCTTTGCTTCTAGCGGCATAGTTAATGCCCGAAAGGAAGCGACTTTAGGAATTAATGGTCCACTTTTGGTACGTGGATGTCTGTCTCTAGGGGTGGCACTCAGCCAACGCGGTCAACGGCCCTTCTTGACCGGGTTATAGAGGAAAAGCTCAGACTTTTCCGGAGAGCAGAAAAGGGCTGCCTCCTCTAGAAAACTCTGTAGCGTCGACCGCCCCTTTCAGGGTAGCCTCTACAGTGCCATCACTGCCTCCTCTACATCAAATGGTGTAGAGGAGGCAGTGATGCATTAGCATAAATTGTGTCGACCAACATCTGGAATTCCAGAAAGCTGTCTCGAGAGACCAGCCATCACTGGGTTAAACAGTAAGGGTGATAAGACAGATGTATGTGCGGTGCCCCTATGTCCCAACACTTGCTCATCCGATTCTAGATTTCCAACTGTAAGGATGCCGGTTCGACGACTCAGGAAGGATGTTACAAACGCGTGAAATTAGGAAGCTAGGTTGAGATTAGAGATCGCATCCAAAATAAAACCATGAGAGACACAATCAAGCGCTTCTTTCAGATCCAAGCCTAAGATCGCCCGGATGTTACTGGTCTGATTATCTAAAACTTGAGTCTTAATAGTTATCATGACATCTTGGGTAGACAGGTCTGCCCTAAAGCCAACTAAGTAGTGAGGAGAAAGATCTTTCTGCTCTATGGAAACAACAAGTCGGTTCTGGATTGTTCCGATGCCTTTCCCACGCATGACGTAATAAAGGTGGGGCGCTGATTATCCAGGCTTGCTGGTTTACCTAGCTTGGAATGGGAATCACTGTGGCCAACTTACATTGCTCCAGGATATCCCTCCCTTCCAAATCCTATTAATCTCATCAGTAAGAAATTCAACAAGTCTTCTTCCAAACTTTGAAGCACTTGGTTGGTGATTTTACCCAAATCTGGTGCTGATCGGCCATTGAGTTCGTGCAGGGCACGCCTCACATCACTGATGCCGAAGGGTTCATTCAAATGGGGACAAGGTATTCCCCTATATCTCGAATAGGCCTACACGTAGGAATCGGCTGCTAGCGGTATACATACTTCTTAGCAAGCTGCCTCAAAGCTCAGCTGCCGACCAGGATTTTAGAGCAAGAGGGAGTATTCTAGTGAAGCCCCCTTTGATTAGATTTTGTGCCATACTCATCAAACAGGTGTTTTCAAAAATTCCAGTTACCTCTCGTTCACATTTGTTTATTGACAAAGTTATAAATTTCATCCCACTGCTGCCTCGACAAGTTTTAACATGGTCTTCAATTTGCGTGTGTATATCTGCAATCTTTCCCTGAAGATTAGGATTAAGCCTCTGGCCCATCCACTTTATCAATAGCAACTGCTTTGACTCCAGTAAATGCGAAAGCCGACTGCTCAATTTTTTATGTCTGTAAAATTTATTCTGTCTCAATGGTCGTGATAACCGCTCTAACACCCTGCAGCAGGTTCTCCGTGCACTGCTACAGAGAGTCCACGCTTTCCCTCTGTTCTGACCAAGCCCTTCGTGACTCCCAAAGCTCCCGTGACTACCGAAGAAGCAGCGTTGTGTGCGGGGGGCGTCAAGAGTTGAACGGCGCTAACGCGGTTGCTGCGGTGAGCGCTTGAAGATTAGCTTGAAGCGATGGCTGGCATAGGCCTTTGTAGGTGACACGTACAGACATGTTTTAACGCGCACGTTGGGCTCACGTCAGATTTAGTGCGCGTGAACCGAAAAGTCAACAGTGTAGCGAGTGGCGGTTGAGTGCGTACAGATGATGTGACCTGCGGGGGCCGTGGCAAGTGCACGGAAGATGAGGGATAGAGTGACGTCAGTGCGCACTGCAAGCGGAGCGTTACGTCAACGCGCAGCAGCGGCGTGACTTACTTTGCACCACACCAACACCTGCAGTGCGCAGTTGTTTTCTTTGGCAGAGGCGGTGTTACAGAGGCTAGTCAAAAAGATGCTTCGCTTCTAAAGAAGTAGGGTCAGTGTGAGTCAAACTTATAACATCTGGGTCCGACACAGAAGGTGCCGAACACGCTATCCACAGCATCATTGCCGCATAATCTGTAGGCTTTACAAACACATGTTTTATGTCTGGCTCTGTCTTCTCAAAGTGCTCTTCCTGAAATGAAGTAATGCATCATGACCGTGAAACCTACGACCACTTTCTTTACGGCGCCAAACTCGGCACAATACGAACAGGTGGAAAGAGCAGTTTTGTAGACGCATTAACACAAAGCTAGGCGGTGACCTTAGCCCAATGCCGGCCTCGCTCATAGCATCCCTACATGCCAGTATTACTCTGTGACGCTCGACTTCTTCGTGTAACTAGAGTCTGCTAGAAACGGTTCTAGTACTCTCTGACCATAACTGCGCGTTCCCAATCTACGCTCGCCCCACGAAAACTGCAGCCAGCAAATGGAAAAGAGAAGACGCGTGGTGTATCTCCCTCTGGTCGGTCAGTGGTGTTCAATAACCCTAACCTACCGTGAGTAGGTTACCGCCGCCCAGGTACGGCTTCCATTGAGGGTTGCTTTTGTGGCTTGCACATTACTTTCTCAAATTTCGCTCTGAGCGTATAGCAGCCACGAGCATCTTCGACCACAAGGGTTTTTCAAGCTATTAAATCAAATCAAGTTTTCTTATTTCATAATGCGATGTAAAAAAAGATTATACTGAAGGAGGTCTCTTAGTATACACTGAAATGTGACTCTGAGTTAAAGGAGTACTGAACGAAATTTTGCGGTTATCGGTGTTTTGCGTCAAACGGTAGGCCAAGGCCTCAAGAGCCTAAAAAATGTACCGGTTAGCGTGAGTGCGCCCTGAAAATTCTTTACGTGGTGTTCTTAAAAGCTAGTTTCAGCTTCTACTGTACCCTGACGTCACGACCTGGTGTGAGCAGCGCCACCAAGCGTTCGTATGTACAAGCGCCAGTTATCGTGACGTATCCCCGGCCACCTGTGGCTAAGTTGTAGTCTGTTGCTTTGTTGAGAATCTGAAATCGGCGGTCAACTGCATGGTGTACGTGTACACTACTGCAGTGAAGTGGAGTGAACAGAACAAACTCCGCTTTTTCAGCGCCCAGTCTCCACCTCGGCCACGGCACACGAAGTCGACCCATGCTTGTCTCAGCACCAGATCAGATGGAAATTCGTGGAACTTGCCCCTATCCCTCGGTTCACTAGCGCAAGACTTCGCAGGGCAAAGCATTGCTACCATGGCGATGGATTCAAATCGAATCACTCCCTTGCCCTCTGAGCCGTGTATATTCTGTACTCACGAGGACGCACTATACTCTAGACTCTGCTCGCTCGCCTCACAGGTTCGCTGGATGATAGCGACCATAGGCGGCCATTTGCTCTTTTTTGGTGCCTGACGTCTTCCTAACTTGCCAGGCTGCGGCATGAAGTCACAAAAATTGGTACTGTAGCCTGACGTCAAGCTAGTGTTGATGTCGATAGGATCGCTAAGAAAAATTTGACTCTATCATCAAAATAAAATATCTTACGCGCACTTGATTAGCTTCACACTTCCTCAGAGCGATCTCTGTATAATAGAGATTTGAATGGCAGAACAAACTCGCCCTCGAAAAAAGGTGTCAGTACTTTTTTAGATTTGGGATAATGTAGGTAATACCGATGGTTCAGGTGACTAAGACGACACGTTCAAAGTCTAGATAGGCTCGGTTGCTAATTTCCTGGTAAACTTCAATAAAGCCATAGACAAATTGGAACGTCTTTCGGTTTTATTTTCTATGTTCCGTGTTTCCTTTTTATGTTTCATTAGGTGTGGTAGCTATGCTTCAAATTCAAAATGTACTCAAAGACACTGTGATCCTCGTGCAAGAACTGGGGAGGCTCCTTTTTCTAGTCCAAGCAGCATGAAAGGCTCATGGCTTTTGCTGTGCTACCTTAAATTAGTAATGACATACAAACCAGGGACACTCAGCTTGTATTTCACAATAGCAATGAATTCTACTCATTGGCAAATCATTGGCATAGATTTCATACCTGAGACTCAGTCGAAGCGAGGTTTTTCAGCTCGCACGGATCGTTGAATACGTCGAACAAGAAGACGGTATCGTGAGGGTCGAAGTGCTTCCCGACAGGCTGGTCACCTTCCGATACTTCGTCGCTGTTGCATTCGATAATCAAATCGTTGTGCCAGTTCTTCTTGAGTTCAGTGCGATTGCTATGATCGTTATCAAAGGAGTTTTGCTGTAGCGCTCGCCAGGCATCGGACGATTCCATGAGCGAGTCCAGGTCGAGTTCTTCTCGGGGACTGCCTTTCGGTGGGGGCCATTGTCTGTCAAGAATTTCATTAGTTCCCGACTCCGGACGATGAACGAGCTTGAAACTGTGGATGGAAAAATACATGAAATAAAGAAAACTTTTGAATCGATTCATAACATATTTCATCGATGTGATGGAGGTACTCCTTCAAAATGGAGAATATCGTTATAGACTTCTTAGAGAAAAAGTGATTGCTGTGTGCATCACTAAATGCAAAATAAATGCGGCGTAAAATGTCCCTCACCCATGTGAATGCACACAAAACACACTTTCGTTCTGCACTGAACGGGGTTCCAATGAACAACAGTTTACGGCATTGGCTGCAGACGGTAAGTGTATTATAGGGGCCGTAGAAGACGCCCACAATGTGCATCTGTTTATATGGTCTACTAGCATTAACTACTTTTTTCAATCACTGTTCATAGTAGTCCCTTAGACGCAGAAGCTATCCTTTCAGTAATATGGACGCTTAAACACAATTTTTTACTGCACCCCGTCCACCATTATGGTGCGAAATATTCAGTAATCATTACTTATTGTCGTAATGACTGATAAATAAAATTTTAAAGCCGTGGTAATGACTCTAACGACGGCTGCAGAGTTGTCGGCAATAGCAAAAGCCGAACACATGGACACATGCAACACGTCTGACTAGACTACTGCAGCCAATGCTACATTACCTCTCAATCTGGCAATATTCACACCTAAGAGATCTGTTTATTCAGACTGAAGTGTTGCATTCAATAAATATAATGAAAAAAACTTTCCTATACGTGACGATGCTTCAGGGGTCGGAATTATGCACAAACTAAGAAATCTAAAAGGGGTGAAACAAGTCTCGTATATATCTTTTTCTCGAGGACGCGAAAATACAACGTGAAATTACAACAAGTCTGCACGAAGAAGCGAGAAAATGCAGCTCTTCTTTGATACGTATGCGCAATAATTTGACAGCATCCTTTTGTGGTAAACAAATATCACAACCATTACTCAATGAAGATGCCAGAAAGGCAGGAAAGTTTCTCTAGGCGTGTGCACTTTTGAATTGAAAAATATGAAACTCCAGGTCCTTCCACTGCCTTGCTTCAAAGCGACGATAGATTACTAAAACTACAGCCGTTTACTGAATGTTTAGTCATACTACCGTCAATTATTACGGCAAGAAAGCGATAAGCTGTCACTGTCGCGACCCGCAATATGTATCAGTTCATCCCACAGTAAATATTCAGCTGGCGTAGTTGGACAGGGGCTAAAAGTTCAGTCGTTCAACTCGAGTTCAGAGGCCACATGCCTTATTGGTTGATGTGTGATATTTAACGTCTCAAAACTATCATTTGATAAGTAGGGACGCCACTGGTGGGGGGCTGCAGATATTTCGATCACTTGGGGTTCTTTAACATGCACCTAAATCTGAGCACACGGGCATACAGCATTTTCGCCTCCATCAAAAATGCAGCGGCCGCAGCCGGGAATCAATCCAGTGACCTGCGGGTCAGCAGCCGAGTACCTTAGCCAGTATACCACCGCGGCGGGGCAAGTATAATTCAAGAATGCCTCTATTCGACTTGCGGCAAGAATTGCCTTCTCTCTATTCTCGTGCCGACAAAGGCACGGGAAGCCATGCCGGGAGGTATCGCATGGGTAAAGAATGGTGTAGACCTTCGGTGGCTCCAAAGGGATTTCAAGTATTAGAAATGCGTAACGCCGAATGGTACGGAAGTGTTTTAAGCATCTACGTTCACTCTTGTTCACAAAAAAGAATAGAAAAATAGTACACCCCAAGAATGTGTAGTGTGTGTGCAAGATGCGGTCTTTCTGCAACATTTCACAGGTGTACTTCGATTGAGCACAAAGTTAACGCAGGATTCAGCACCTTCCACCCAGTGAGTGCTTAATATAGCCAGAAATATTTCCAATTGTGAAGAGAGCAGCCTCATTTTTTGTTAGATGCAACCTAAGAAATCCAATGGACAGAAGCTGATTCGTTCTCAACAATTTTAGGGAAAGTGCTCAAGGCTGGAGTGAATAATTCTCCGCTAATGCCCCATAGAAAGCGGCGGGCGCAGCGACAGCATGCAGGAATGTATTGTCTCAGGAACCATGACTTGATACAAAAATATTAGAATTAGGGGGGAAAACCCGCTGCATGCATTTCCGGGTGATTCTAGTTTCAAAGGTGCGCACTGTTAGCCACGAGTCCGGTTAGGCTTTTTCCAGCGGTTTCATAAACAAAAATGAAAGAGCAAATGTTATTCTCTCAACATTTGGGTGCTCACCTGCCAGAGATAATCGCCGATGCCAGATCTGGGCCATCAATTTCTAGAATCACATCGCCGCGTTCAGTGACTTTACCGGAGGAAAGCGCCTCCCACAGGTCTTGTCCATCTACGTCACACAGTTCCGAAACGTTGTCCTCCTTGAGACCAAAGTAGCGATAATTTAGAAAATTACACATAGGCGATTCTTCGTAATTGTAGGAGCTATTATGCAAGCTAGATACTTTGCTAAATTGTATTCGTACGCGTTGCATCGATGTCCCTTCGCCTGCAAATTGCCAGTGGTATCGCTTAAGCTTTATCACTTTTAAATGCACGCATTGCACTGGGTATTTTTTGCATAATTTTGAAATCCCAAATAATATAGTTACGACAGTATGCCATGTGTCGTAACCACAGATGAACTCGACGATGAGGTGGCAACTACAGACTGAAGCTATAAAAGAAGTATTCATAACTAAAATTCCGTTAATAAGCTTCTGAGTTATTGACTCGAGGTATAGTTTATACGCGAAAGCTGTGGGCATAATACCTTTATAGAAATGAATAAAACAACCAATGTTTTTTTACGTGCAATTGGTGTATTTCAGAGCCCGATTTCAGGAGATATCAAAACTCGTATGAAATGCGACTAGGGTTGTATCAGACTGCAGCCTATAGTACTGGAATAAAAAAAAAACGCGCATCTGCACGACGTGAATGATGACGAGTGGGTGAAGTCAAGTCATAAGTTCCATAACGTTTACTTGAAGTCGCCGATTAGTGTAAAGGACTCGTACTTTTACGTGTTTTTTGAATTGCTCCGTCACAATCATAATCAATATTAGTGTGATATTGAACCTTTTTTGTGTCTAACAAACGTTACCTGAGCATTGTTCCGTATATTGTAAATTGAGTTTCGTAAAATGGTATGAATAGTCCACGACGAAGCTCTGTCCTTACGTCCAAAATGTCTACTATTGACTCGCTCACTTGTATAAAAGGTTCGTGCTTCTAGCTACTATATATTGTACCTTCACAATTGTCATTGTGTTTGTACATTGCAAACCTTTTTTATTCACATACGCAGATGTTTAGGCTATAGCAATGGTTTTGTAATCACTATGACAGTAGACAGCGAGCTTCAACAATAAAACTAGGTCCTATAATCTTTAACGTGCACGTTCACGTTCCCAACCAGTATAAATGGTTTGTGCTTCAGGATGATTTATACTGATCTGTCAAAAATTATTGATATTAGATGATTGCTAATTTTATTTTTTGTGTCTCAGACCCGCGATTCATCCCGTGATGAACTGACACCAAGAAAAGGGTTGGTCCTGACGAGATTTGCTCCTTGTAAGTTCCCTGAAACGCTTTTTGAAGCAACTGTGGAATGAATTCACGAAGAAACCTTACTTCCTCACTAATTTAACGCCGCCAAAATTTTAAGAATACGCCCAGTATGAGCGGAGTTACAAAAATTTGTCACATGCTGCAATTGCCTTCTCTCTATTCTCGTGCCGACAAAGGCACGGGAAGCTATGCCGGGAGGTATCGCATGGGTAAAGAAAATACGTCACGCGTGGCTAGTGAATTTGAGCACTTTTTTTTCGAATATTGGCTTTTTTAGTGTGATTGCGTGGGCACCTGGGACAAGTCACTGCCTCTCGCGGCGATGCCTGTAACGACCGAGCGCACTATGTTCAAATCAGCCAATGAATAGTGGACGCCCTACTACTGGTGATTTTTGAGCTTCTTTCGTCATTTGTCGGAAGGAGAGAAAACAATTTTTTGCTAACTTTAAAATTTTGTTTTGATTTCCAGGCCACGTGTTGCGCTGTAATATTTAGTTCGTGTATACTTGACAGCCATTAAACCGATCAGCAGCGTTTTCTGACCATGCTCAAACAGCGTTGCAGGGCCTCTTTAATTATTGAGCAATATTTGAGTGAATGGTACATTTATATTTCATTTAAATTGACAAGCATATTTTGTGTGTGTTCAAGCTCACGTGAGTGCTTCACTGATTGGGATAAAACATGAATTATGCAGGCGCACCGTACCTTAGGGACTGTATTGAAAGCAAGATGGTTAACACACCGCTATACTGTTTTACATACACACGTACACACACAAAGATGCGATTATGACATGCGGGATAAGGAATGTAGCATAGGAGTTTTTTGTTAGCACTGCGGCAGTCTTCTTTGCCACACCCCTTTGCCCCACCTGGCGTACATATATCTACGATGTAAACTTGGTATACCCTGAATTGTTTGTACTGCGACTGTTTTAAATTGCGCCACAAAGAGTCTCCTACAACATACAAATAGCTGGAGCCTTACGTTCAGGTTCACCGCTTTCTCTACAAAGCTCGAGGGACAATGGTGAACCTAATTATGCGAACGCATAGTCTCTCGAGTTTATCAATACCACTGCCACATAACAAAAAAGACAAAAGAACAAACCATGAAAGTAATGTTTACTTGAAAGAGCGCCTCTTTCCTGTTGTGTATTTGTACGCGGTGCAACACTATCACCTCGCGATGATATACCGACTGGCCTGCATTGCTAACCTTATTCTTCTCGTATACACCACGCAAACCTCAGGAGCGCCAATCACGAATAGCACGTGTACCTGCAGCGGTGTAGAAAGTAGGCGCCCAGTCGACAATGTGCATCATCTGCTGGGAGGGTGGCCGTGGTGAAGAACCGCTCAGGCGAGCGTGCCAGAACACTGCAGGCGTCCGCAAGCTACCTTCCCACACTCTTCCTTTCCCTCCGCGCAGAGGCCAATTGGAGCCGGCGTTCGCAGCGGTGACTCCCTTGACCGGTGCAGCTCCGTTGTCACTGGTAAACGCGACAACGCTGTCGGCGAGCATACCACGGGACTGCAATGCGGCCAGCACCTCACCTATTGAGCGGTCCAACTCATGGACTGCTCCTGCAAGAGGTGGGAGAGCGTACTATGTGATGCGTAAGCCGACCCAACGTAAAGCGTTTTGCATAAAGTTATGGCCTCCTTCGCAAAGGTTAAAGACCCTTCAGTGTGCCTTTTGAATAAGAAATCCAGTCCTGAAGGGGCAACTCGTCGGCTAGTTGGTTTCACATACACTGACAGAATTTGAGGGGGTACTGCAAGAGCATAAGGACAGTGTTACTCTCCCCAGACTGCTTTAACTCCGTGGAGGAGTTAGGCAACGTTGGCCGCGGAACATACTCTTAAGTTTAATGCACCCCGCCACAGTGGTCTAGTGGGTAAGGTACTCGGCTGCTGACTCGCAGGTCGCGGTATTGAATCCCGGCTGCGACGGCTGCATTTGCGATGGAGGCGAAAATGCTGAAGGCCCGTGTGCTCACATTTGGATGCACGTTAAAGAACCCCAGGTGACCAAAATTTCCGGAGCCTTCCACTACAGCGTCTTTCATAATGAAATGGTGGTTCTGGGATGTTAAACCCCATATATCAATGAATAAATAAATCTTTCGCTGAATTCACAGTAAAAAAAACTATGAACACTCTGCTACTCGAATTGAGTTCCTATTTTATGCAACTCTCGTGCCGATGAAGCGCGAATGGGATCTGGCACTCCGTCCTTGCTGACCTAGCACTTGCAAGTTACCACAGACGCCGCGAAGCAATTGAACTATCTCGTAGCCATATGCCTCTTAGCGTAGAAGCCCCAGAAGTAAGTTTAATGCGTCAATGATAACTTTCAGTGATAACTATGGCATGCTTGTGTGGTCATGAACGTTCCTGACGCGCCACTACCAACACCTTCGAGGCCAGAAGCAGCGCAACATCTGATTGATTTGTGGAGTTTAACGTCCCAAAACCACCACATGATTATGAGAGACGCCGTAGTGCAGGGCTCCGGAAATTTGGACCACCTGGGGTTCTTTAACGTGCACTCAAATCTGAGCACACGGACCTACGACATTTCCGCTTCCATCGGAAATGCAGCCGCCGCAGCCGGGATTTGAACCCGCGACCTGCGGGTCAGCAGTCGAGTGCCTTAGCCACCAGACCACCATGATGGGGCAGCGGAAACATCTAAAGAGTCGCCAAAAGTTATTTTACCACACAAACAAATTGCCACGGCAGTAAGGTAAATCTCAGCACTTATTGTAAATAAAAAAGTTTTAAAATCTTATACAGCTGGGTTTGAACTCGCCACGTTCGTTTGACGAGGCGAGTGCTTGATCACTACGCAACGTTGTATCACAATCATTACGCTGAAAAAAGAAAACTGGTTGAAAGGAAGCACGCCGTTCCGCTTCATGGGTCGTAGTTTGAGCATACGGGCGATTTTCGTTTCTAACTAAACCTTGTGTCTTCATGACATAAAAACTACTGGCGTCTACACATAACCTGCCACTAATGCCAAGACGCCAAGTTTCTTTCAGAATTCACAACATTGAAAGGACGATATACCAAAATTATCGAGAACCTGAGGTAGATGATTTACTGCCGAGTGCATTGACCGTTACTCGCTTTTTGTGCTAGTTGACGTGCGCCGATGTTTTCTAACGACTTTAATGCTTGATAAGTACGCGCGTAGTTGATTGAATTAGGTGTATTTTCGTGCGCAAGCAACAATATGCTATAGCGCAGCGGCCGTGTTAGAGTGTGCTGATTTGCATGCGTAAACCGATAGCTGCAATTACGCAGCCGATAGCTAAAAACAAATTGCATGTGCACGAAAGTGTGTCATCGTGTTACTTTATGAATGCACACCGAACGACAAGCCCCTGTTTCCTTGTATGAGTCAGCGAAGTGCCGAATAGTGCGCCCGGCGGCTGTCGGCTGTGGCCCGTGTGCGCTGCGCCACAAGGCTAAATGTGCGTCGCATCGATGCTCATCGCCCTTTGTGCGCACACCGTACGCAAGAAAGAATGATTCATTCAAGTTAACCGATGGCAAGGGTCTTCTGTACAGTCATTTTTATTCCTTGGCATAGCATATTATTAACAAAGAAGAGCCGATGGAATGTATGACGGCCTCGGCCGCTAAGCTAGGCCTAAATCTGCTGGGATTTGACTCATACAGGTCACAATTACTTGGACTGATCTCAGCGCAGGCGCTTAAGCCATACGCAAGCCTCTCATTGTTGTAATAAAGTGTAGACGAGGTGAACAAAACTTTACGGATTGCCAGAGATGCGTTTGAGTTGTAGTTTTGCCGACCAGAGTTGTTGTTCTGGCGTACAAGTACACACCACGGCATCTCAAGTCGGATCGAACACCAGATCGTAACCTTTGTAGATTATGTTTGGGCCAGCACTGCTGACAGATTGTCCGAACTATGTTTGTAAGCGCCTAGTACAACTCTCAGGATTGGGCACAAGTGGCTTGACCGCATTGAGCCGATATGACAGAATACCAGCTAATAATTGAAATTTAGTATTATAAACGGCGTTGTATGTCATGTAGTTTATAAATAAAAGGTCAACGTGCCTACAGGGTACCAAACGATCAACAGATAGTTACACATGCTGGATGTATATTTGCCCTTCGAAGCGTGTAATAGAAAGGTAGTGCCACCCGCACTAGAAGAGGTCTTCTCCTATAGCTTCCCCTAGACATTCCTTGGCAATATTGTCTGTTAGATCTCATAATATTGTACCAAAACCCGGAAAAACGAGCCCTCAAATATACACTTCATTCTCTTATTCATTAACGAGGGTCTCGTACTGGCAGGCTTGGGGCCGTTAGGTTGTGAGCTTGTGATGCGATGGTGATGCGACTGGTGCGCGTAATTGTGAATGATTGAAAAGTGCGCGAAATTAAAGGATGACCGAGTGCACGTGCTGGGTCGCCTGAACAACGACGACGCCGAGGACCGGTACACGTGAGAGCGTGGAGCGCGAGCATCCAAGACCATAAAGCAAACAAGGGCCAATGGCTGATCACCACGGAGTTTTGAAAGGCCAATCGGGACGAGACAAGTGTGCCCCAGAGGAAGCCAATCCTGAAGGAAAAAAGAGCTAGGAGTTCGAGGTGAACGAGGCAAGAGGAAGGTCACAGCTGGGAGCTGAAGACAGGCAGTCGGGTGGCAGACCTGAGCCTTCTGGACTTCACCCGGTCTGGACCTCCGGACAACGCCTTCCAAGGACGGCGAGCTGCCTCAACGGTCGAGACCAAGGCCTGCAGATTCCGGTGCGGGTGCAGCAACGGCAGTTCGGGTCACGGGCCTGAGCCTTGCAACCAGCCACCTCATCGGGCGAATCTGGGCCGCCACAGGCATCACCGAGCGAGTCCCGTTCCATCGTCGCCGCCAGCGAGCATCGGTACACGCCGTCGCCACCATTACAGCAGCAACGTTTTGGTGAGATCGAACTTGCTCTCTTCCCTGCACCGCCGAATCACCGCGTCAGAACTGCATCATGTAGCTGTGACTTTCCGTCGGCAGTTTCGGGACTTTAGATGTTTGTTTTCCTTCTAAATCCCGCTTTTAGCCAGCTACTCATTTCTTGCAGTTTGTGTTTGAGTTTTGCTTCAGTTCTGCAGTAAATGTTTAGGTGTTGTTTGTTAAGCAAACGGCTTTGTCCTTATTAGAAAAACTCTCCGGGGCTCAACCAGGAGAAACAAATCAGCAACAAGAACCCGCATCACAAACTGGCGTCCGCAGCGACAGGACAAAGCCGTTGGTTTGACACCTTCATTTATTGACGCGGTTGACATCATGTCGAATATGCGAGAGCTAATGGCCTTGGCGGATCGCATGGGAATTGATGGTGCGGATTTTAAAGCATGGTACGAGGAGAAGGAGGCACGAGCACGAGAGGAACGGGCTGCGGAACGAGAAGCTCGAAAGGAACAGTTGGAACGGGAGACGCAGGCCAAGAAGGAGCAGCTTGAGCTCGAGACGCGCGAAAAAGAAAAACAGCTCGAACTGGAGACACGCGTAAAGAAGGAGCAGCTGGAATTAGAGAACCAAAACCTGCAACTGCGTCTTAGACTTGCCGAAGCTGAGAATAGCCGTGTAGAGACAAGAACTGTTGACTCAGCACCAGGCTCAGCACAAGAAAGGAGTGTTTCATGCAGCGTGAATCCTCATAAGTTGATACCGGGATTTAATGAAAGCCGGGACGACTTGGACGCCTATTTAAAAAGGTTCGAGAGAGTCGCCATCGGTCAAGAATGGCCTAGGGACAAATGGGCCACAGCTTTAAGTTTATGTTTGAGCGGAGAAGCCTTAAAGGTGTTTGGAAGACTTTCGCCGGAGGATTCACTCGATTATGATAAAGCCAAGTTGGCGTTGCTCCAGCGTTTCCGTTTTACGGCCGAAGGGTATCGGGAAAAGTTCCGACAAAGCAAGCCACAGGACGGCGAAACAGGCAAGCAGTACGCAACTAGGCTACTGAGTTTTTTCGATCGTTGGGTCGAAATGTCGAGGACCGGAAAAGAATATTCGGCTCTTCGTAACTTGATAGTTACAGAACAGTTCTTAAGAAACTGTCATCACCGTTTGGCACTTTTCCTGCGAGAAAAGAACTTCAACAAGCTAGAGGACATGGCCGAGGCCTCAGATAACTTTTTAGAAGCTCAGAGGCAAGTCAACCTGTTAATTTTCCGAGAAAAAGTGGAATCTAAAAGCAATACGGAAAAAAGTGGTAGTTACTCGGAGAGAGGAGCAGTACGTTGTTTTGTATGTGGCAAAATGGGTCACAGGGCATCGGAGTGCCGATCAAGGTCAAAACAACCTTTCTGTGGATATTGTCAGAAGGCGGGGCATGATTCCAAAACTTGCTCAAAGAAGAACGGTTCAGCCAACAAGACGTCATGTCTTTTGTCGCCAGAGGAGCACTCAACGGAAGTGAAGCTTTCACCGGACAAAGAAGAGGACATGGCGGGCGCCGTGAATACTCACCCGAAGTTTGCCACACACAAAATGCCCGTGTTACAGGGCCGAATCTTTGGCCGAACCGTCTCAGTGTTGCG